TTGTTCAGGAAGAGTTTAAGACAAAGAACTATGTAATATTGTTAAACTGTTTGTGTTTCATCACATACGTTATTTTAACAATTTTGTTTAAACTTGCTATTATTTCTTATTTATAATAAAGTATGAATAACACAGCAATACATTATTCAATAAAATACATAAATAAATACGTTGTATTCTGCTTGCATTATCATTACTAGTTTTGATAACCCGATAAATAAACAGGTAATCTACTTAGAATAGACATAATTAGAATGACAGGCAGAGAGTAGCACCACATGTGAATGATAGGCAGAGAGTAGCACCACATGTGCTCTTTAGTTTACTGAATAATAATTGCATGAGGTGAGTAATATGTTTAGCTTTATGTTCGTTCTTGAAGTATAAGTAAACGAAGCAGTACTGTTATTTGATAGAAAATGTCACGTGCTTTATTTTCTTCTTTTTGTTGCAAAAAAAACATATCCTTCTAATTTCAATTCTTTCAGTTTGATAACCTAATTTTTCCTGCAAACGAACACAATTCACCGCTCATTGATCGTATCCAGGAGATTTCTGAGTCTGCGCGGAAGGTATAAATTGCCCAGAGACCTTTGCAGCTCAGCTGACAGCAACACGTCCATACAAACTCTTCACTTGGGTGAACCGGAAGTTGCAAGAGGTAAACAAGAAATTTGGGTATGTCTGTTCTTAAATTATGAGGTTTTCATGGTTTCAGCTGACGAGATGCCCCACAAGAAGAGGCTGAAGCCCTGGCTACGAAACCTCTTTCTTTCCACAACCTAGCAACCAGTTGTTTTGTTGTGCTGAAGGTAAAGAAACCTTTGCTATTTTTCTTGTTGATCGATTCAAATTAATTTAACAGTAACAGTTTATAATTTTTACTGTAACTGATACTCAATCTACCATGCAGTGTATATTTTTTATTTACGTGGTCAAACTTCACGTGATACAAACTGAAATATCTTTACCAATTGTTGATTAATTTTACTTTATTTATTTTTACAGCAGGTTTATTCTGTTGCATATTACTTGTAACAAACGATCTTTTCTATTGATTAAAACCTAAAATTAGTGCAGTGTTGTTGTCCTTTTTTTTTGTAGTCGTGGTGTTTTCAGGAAAATAATTCCTGTACAGCATAAGTAAGGCTTCAACTCAATATATCGTGTGACTAGTGACAGCTTGCAAAATCACCCTTTAATACTATTAGTGCTAGCATATTTTATAATCTTCCACAGAACCTGTCAACATTGACATTACAATACGACAGGCCTAAAAACACAGACAAAGTTTCGCACTTTGTTTACTACGAACCGAGAGACAAAATATTGCTTTTGTTACGACAGTTCAATCAAATGTTTTAACAAGATCTATATTTCACTTTGCTGACATTTTCAACCAAATTTATTCAAGAAATTTAGGGAATCAATCCTGAGCTAAAAAATGGATTTCATTTTATTTTATTGCAATTATTTCCTTCCCTTGAAAATTCCCATTGTCCTATTTCCTATCTTCTGCCTTTACTTTTCTTCGTGTATTTTGGATTTGCTAATGATCACTTTGCGTGCCTGAAGCCTCGTAGAGGGGAAAAAAGAACAAGTTATAGCAAGGAATTGGTTCTGAAGACGAGGTTAGAGATTTTAAAATGTTACTGTCATTACACAAAACTGGATTTGGAGACGGTGGCAGATATTTTAAAAATGTTACTGACATAACAAAGAACTGTATTTGGAGACGAGGATAGAAGTTTTAAAATGTTACTGTCATAACATAGAACTGGTTTTGGGGACGAGGCTCGATATTTCTAAAATGTTACTGTCATAACAAAGAACTGTATTTGGAGACGAGGCTAGAGGTTTTAAAAATGTTACTGTCATAACATAGAACTGGTTTTGGGGACGAGGCTAGAGGTTTTAAAATATTACTGTCGTAACAAAGAACTGTATTTGGAGACGAGGCTAGATATTCTAAAATGTTACTGTCATAAGAAAGATCTGGTTCTGAAGACGAGGTTACAAGTTTAAAAAATGTTACTGTCATAACATAGAACTGGTTTTGAGGCGTAGGCTAGATATTTCTAAAATGTTACTGTCATAACAAACAACTGGTTTTGGAGACGAGGATAGAAGTTTTAAAAATATTACTGTCATAACATAGAACTGGTTTTGGAGACGAGGCAAGATATTCTTAAAATGTTACTGTCATAACAAAGATCTGGTTCTGAAGACGAGGTTAGAGGTTTTAAGAATGTTACTTTCATAACAAATAACTGGTTCTGAAGACGAGGTTAGAGATTTTAAAAATGTTAATCTCATTACAAAGAACTGGTTTTGGGGACGAGGTTAGAAGTTTTAAAAATGTTACTGTCATAACATAGAAATGGTTTTGGGGACGAGGCTAGATATTTTTAAAATGTTACTGTTATAACATAGAACTGGTTTTGGGGACCAGGTTAGAAGTATTAAAAATGTTACTGTCGTAACATAGAACTGGTTTTGTGGACTAGGCTAGATATTTCTGAAATGTTACTTTCATAACAAAGAACTGTTTCTGAAGACGATGTTAGAAGTATTAAAAATGTTACTGTCGTAACATAGAACTGGTTTTGTGGACTAGGCTAGATATTTCTGAAATGTTACTTTCATAACAAAGAACTGTTTCTGAAGACGATGTTAGAAGTATTAAAAATGTTACTGTCGTAACATAGAACTGGTTTTGTGGACTAGGCTAGATATTTCTAAAATGCTACTTTCATAACGAAAAACTGTTTCTGAAGACGAGGTTAGAGGTTTTTAAAATGTTAATCTAATGTCAAAGCACTGATTTTGGGGACGAGTCTAGAAATCTTAAAAATGTTACTGTCATAACAGAGAACTGGTTTTGAGGACGAGGCTAGATATTTTGACAATGTTACTGTCATAACATAGAACTGGTTTTGGGGACGAGGTTAGAAGTTTTAAAAATGTTACTGTCGTAACTTGGGATGTACAGGTACCCGGCTGAGTATTGGGCTAAATTTTACTACCCCTACATCCCTAGTCATAACAGATAACTGGTTTTGGGACGAGCCTAAATGCCTGTTTCTCTTATCCAATTATATTTTACCACTTAAAATATTCTCGTTCTATTTCTTATTTTTTACAAAACAAACGCGTGTTTAATTTATTATCCGATTATGAAATACGATTATGAATAATTTATGAGACTCATTAAGATGTAGTTCTTATTTTAACATAAATGTAAAAGTTGTGTTGGTACGTTTTATTTATTTCACGGTTAATTGAAAACAGTTGTTAGAACGTATCTCACACTAACAGTCCCCCAAAATGCAAAAAAATACATTTTTTTATACAGTCTATTGTAATGTTTCTTAAGCCTTTTTATGCCTTTTTTTTTCAGGAACTCACCTAGCGACTGATTTTCAAATTAGACAAAGAACAGTTATTAAGCAAAACAACGCAGTTTATCTTTGAAGAAAACAAAAAGCATGAAGATAACAAATAATAAAATGTTTTACTAAGTCATCTATCAAGTAACCTTGAGAAAAACGACTACGAGCGTTATTAGTAAAATAAACTCAGTAACACCAGATGTTTTGAAGAAGCCGAATAAGGTTGAAGATTGCTTTTACCAAAAATAAATGAATAATCTTGTTAATTTACAAATAATTCTTACTGGAGTTTCTAGAGAGGAAGTAGATTGGGATGGTTTCCCATTATTCTGGGGAAAGTCTGAACGATTGGAATAATATGGGGACTTCTAACAGACACGATCTTGCTGGTTCGAGTTACTAGATTAATTCCGAAGACGATTCTGACAATCGTCAGCAAAGTTCAAAGATGGTTAAAACTGTAAAATGGCGTTATTAATTGCTCTACGAGTTCTGGTAATGGTTTTCAATGTACGAATAACTTTCAGAAGAAAGACAATAAAGATGACAGTCATGCCGTCCTTTCGTTAGAGAATAATACTACCATTTCATCGAAAGACGTTCAGAAAATTTACGAAAAAAGACATAAACTTTATGAGAACCACATTAATGTCATTAGACCAGATGCTACAATTTTATGGAGTTTTAATGCCGTTCGAGGAAAAGTGACTGACCACTGTATATGGTCAGCTTGTAAAGCACTGACGATTGGCGTCTTCCTTATTCTCTTAGGGACAGGGATGGCCATTGTAGGATTTTACTCAACTCACCCAGACGAAAAAAGAAAAGACAATGGAACAAAGTTTGTGGAAAACTTTAGTCAAACGTATAAGCTGACCAGTATGACGTATATAGGTCCGGCGGTTATGGGTGTAGGGGGATTTATAATTGTTGCCACATGCGTGTTGGTCTTTGAAGCCCGTGACACAGCAGCCAGAGTAATCCCTCTTTGGCTGTGGCCAACTCACGACCAGGGGAGTTTGGCAGTAGGAAGTCACGCGACCAAGAACACAACGTCTTGGGAAGTATTTCATGCTCAGCCGCAGAGCGTAACAGAAACAAGTACAGACTCGTTTGGTTTCATTAATCCTTTGAAAGTGTCGAGTGGTGGTGCCCAGAAACACGTTCTTGACCACCTGGTTTACCGATGTCTTAGTAGGTCACCGGCCAACTGGCCTAACGGAAAGAAAGCGAATTTTCAGCGGTTACAGATGTTTCACCTAACAACATCTGATCGAGAGAACCCAAAAGGCCAGTGTTTGGGCGTGGCAGCTATCAAAAATACTGAAAGTGACTATTTACGTGCCCAGTTTAGAAGCAGATCAAAGGTCAGATACCAATACGGCACAGGAACTAAGTTACGTTCATGTGACGTGGAGACAAGTCCGCGTAAGTCCACTTCAGAACCTAATATAAATGAATTCTTTCAGTCCACGGATGTTGTTTGGGTAGATGAAAATGAAATATTTGACAATAAGAGCTCTATTTTGGCCGAAAAGATGACCCTTCATCCGGTCAACCACCGCCAACACTGTTTGTGTAACGTTCCGCCACCAATTTTAAATGTTCACGGGAGTCATGAGGTTGATAAAGTGTCTAATGAAACTGTTCCTATTGTGTCCAAACGTTCAAATAGATTCGATTTTTACAATACCTTTCAAGAGACGTCCATCATAGATGGCGCACTCTCTCGTCAGATGTGCCGAAGTAAGGCCGCAAGTCGAAAAAGAAGTCGTAGCAAAACTCACAGAGAAAAAAGAAGCGAAAGAAAACGGAAACATCAGAGCTGTAAGTCAGCTGATAGGAACCACTCAAGGGACTTGTGGTCAAGCAAAAGTCCAATATCCTCGTGCCGTGAGGACTCAGGCAGCCAATCAACGTCCACCGAATATTTGCTTCCGCGGCGGAAGAATACATCCACGTTATATGGAAGCTTGCTTAAGAGATTTTCGAAGAAAAGCTGAGAATACTAATGTATATTAAAAATGTTTTTTTAGTACTAGTGACGTAATCACTACCTACAGAGTTACCTGTTTTTCCCGTTAGATGTCGTTGTTTCCGGTTTTCTAAGGAAGAAAAAAATTTAAACATAAGATATTTTTATTTGCTTTACCTATCATTTGTTTCTTTCTTCGTTTAATATTTTATAATTTAGTGTGTATTTTTTATTTCATAAAATAAAATGACAGTAGTCGGACAGAGATAAAATAATTTTAACAACTTGGACTAATGGCCTAAGGATAGAAAATGAAAATAAGTAATTACGATAGATTAATGATAAAATTCGGACAAAGAGGAAAAGTAAAGGTTAAATGCAAAAAAAAAAACAACAGTGTCATAATCTGGTGTATTACTGACGTATTATAGTACGCCAATTAATGACTTTTTTTCAAAATGTAATTACGGTCACCATGACAACGAAAATAAACAACGTTGTCGAGCTTGCTCAATAAGATTATTATTTTATCTAATGTGTATTAACCTGAAAATATTTATTTTAAACTTACGAATTTATCAGTTTGTGAAAGAAATGTTTATTGTTTTTGGTTGTTGTTTTTTATCGAGGTCATGTCATAATATTTTAAACTTATTCTGTATGGCAAAGCATAAAACAGCCTAGCCGTACAATAAATACTGTATATATAGAAAACAAAATGACAGTAGAAAAACCACTTACCCAACCGATATATTCTTCTCCTCATTCCCTCCTAAAACATCCTTGGCTATGACGTAAGTGGCTAGCAACAGTCAGGTTATTAAAGTTTCATAAATATTATTGTAAACTGAGAAAAAATCTCAAGTTTAGGAGTTTCATTCAGGAAAAGTATTGAGGATAAATAAGCTTTTGTCTGTATATCAGTCTTTTGGTCACCCGCTCTACAATCGATAAATTCTCTGTGGCCAATGGAAGTTGAGATGACTACCAATAAAAGAAGAACCAAATATTTTGACAGGGCAGCAAAGCTGCAGTCTACTCTCCAAGGACCTATTTTGTTTTATTAACTTGTATCTCTTTCGCTATTTTCCCTTTGACGAAAAGTTCCAAAAATTATGTGTAATTGATAAATCCATCAAATGCTTTTGTTTGTAGTAGAGCCCGAAGATGATGGGGGGGGGGAGGTATACTGCAATCAATAAAGTTATTGAAGTCCCTTTTTTTGCTGCGAAAAGGTTTCAGTAAAATCCGGAATTGAATTCCTGCGGTGGGCACAACGCAGATAACTCATTGTTGAGCCACATGTTTACCATTAAGGAAAATCGATTTGAAAAGATTTACTTTGGACATAAATTTGGTAAACTCGTATCTGTTGTTTTTTCCAGGATTATTAGTTATAGAAAATGACAAAATCTTTTTGTTTTCTGCCACAGTTTCCATCTATTTATTACCAAACGGTTTTTAACAAATATATGAAATGTTTTACTGGAGTTGTTCTTTTCAAACTGTTAAAACATTTTATGTATTTCTTTCTACTCTTAAGTCAGTCTGAAGATGCCAGAAAAATTAATATGACTTTAGGTTCAAAATGAAAAGGGTTAATCTCAAAGATTAAGAACAATGGAAATTCTGATGCAGTGATATGGCGCCAGGAACTACATGTTTATCATATCTGTATTTGGTTTATTACAAAATCCCCATTATTGGGCAGTAGCATTCCTGTTCGAATAATTTATACCTTAAAGAATAAACCATAACCGTTTCCAAGGAGAGACATTCTTACAGAGAAGCACATAAAGAATAAACCATAACCGTTTCCAAGGAGAGACATTCTTACAGAGAAGCACATTAAGAATAAACCATAACCGTTTCCAAGGAGAGACATTCTTACAGAGAAGCACATAAAGAATAAACCATAACCGTTACCAAGGGAAGACATTCTTACAGAGAAGCACATAAAGAATAAACCATAACCGTTTCCAAGGAGAGACATTCTTACAGAGAAGCACATAAAGAACAAACCATAACCGTTACCAAGGGAAGACATTCTTACAGAGAAGCACATAAAGAATAAACCATAACCGTTACCAAGGGAAGACATTTTTACGGAGAAGCACACAAAGAATAAACCATAACCGTTTCCAAGGAGAGACATTCATACAGAGAAGCACACAAAGAATAAACAATAACCGTTTCCAAGGAGAGACATTCATACAGAGAAGCACACAAAGAATAACCAATAACCGTTTCCAAGGAGAGACATTCTTACAGAGATGCACACAAAGAATAAACCATAACCGTTTCCTTTGTATACCTTTGCGCTTAACAACAAACAAACAAACAAATACATTAATCCCATTCAACCATATAATTAGCAAGACCTGCTAATTTTTCTACAATAACTGTTTTTGGTGTACTGAAATGTTTTATGTTTTCTTGGAAGCTGACGTCCACGTACAGTGAAATACCTTTGTGGTCTAACAACAACCTCTGTAACAGTTTGTCACAATGGAAAGTGGGATGTCAGGAAGTATTGCGTAATAATGTCTATCCAACGATCACGATCATGGAAGAAGTAATTACAACAACATCTTACAAACTTGGAGTAAGTCTCAGTATTTTTGTTCAGCTACAATCAAGGATTCGTACCTTTGTAAGATACTTATGACACTTTGTGTTTATGTAACGTTGGTAACCTACCTATAACTGTGTTACAAGAAAATAAGTAACTGTATTTGTAACCGAAACGATTTGGTTTCATCCTTATTCCGGATGATTTAGCCTCATATGTGGCAGGTGGCTTAATCAAAGAACTGTTATTATATTCGGGGGCTGGATGGACTTTTTTTTATTAGCCTATCATTAAAACTTTCCACTGTTCGTAACATGACGTTATCGATGGGTAAAGATTGTATTAGCGTCGAGACAGTATTTTCTAATCAAACAAATAAATAGTTCGTTTCTTTGTTTTGGCACGTGCTGTACAATGGGTTATCTGCGATATGTTCATCACAGGGAATCGAACCACGACTTTTAGCGTTATAAGTCCGTCAACTTTCCGCTGACCCACTGAAGGACAAACTGACAACAGTGAACCCTTCTACTTTGTTAACGTATGTTTAAGCAGCAAAGCTGATATTTTAAGCAGAAAATTAAATTGCGTGTAAATGCATTCCTTCAAACTATCCATGATACAAATTACTACATGATACTTCAAACTATCCATGATACTAATTACTACATGATACTTCAAACTATCCATGATACTAATTACTACATGATACTTCAAACTATCCATGATACTAATTACTACATGATACTTCA